ACGGAACACATATTGGCAGAATAATTCAACGCTGCATATAAAGATAAATTTATCACAAACAAACGTTAAAACAGACAAGAAACTTAAAGCATACTCAAGCTCAACAAGGCTGAATCAGTACGTGGTGCATCGTTTTGACCGACTGTTCAATCCCGGGTTTAGTTTAACTTGGCTTTAGATAGATGAGACATAAATGCGTGCATCATATACAGCGGACAGTGCGGACCCTATTCCATCCACTATGGTGGATGACTTAAACCTTTTTAAAATTCAGAAAGAATCAAATATAATACTGTTTTCAGTTGTTTGATTAGGCCAATGAAAGCACTTTCCGAGAAGTGACAAACTCTCGGTAGAATCGGAAGCACTTACTCTTCATTTGTAAATATCATTGGTATCCGGTCCCGTAACGTCAGAACCAGAGTAAAGTAGATCGGTGCCAGACACCCTGAAATGCAGAAAGATCAGCTTGCTCTGAGCGTATACAATTCCGTCCAAATCACACAAATATTGGTTGCAAATCAGCATTATAGAATTTGCTTCCGAAAAGTACTTTTTAGCCGGATAACCCCGATGTCTGTAGCTCATGACACCATTGAATTTGCATACATTTTTCGCTTTCCACTCGCAATGCAGTTGCTGCTGTTGTTCATCCAGTTTCATCCCCGTTAGAAGGTAAATCTTCCATCCTTGCAAGCGAAATACTCTGGTTGTTTTCAGAGTGCCATTCTGTCCCCAGTCCTTTGCTGTTGTACAAAAACTGCCTTCCAATCGCTCCCAACTTTGTCGCGTTCAAGTATGCTGAAGAAGCAGTGATTGTTTGTCCCCCGAGTGATCCTGACAGTTTCTACCAATTACAAAACCGTCTGAACCAAATATTTTGTTGGTCTGCGTCCGGATCTTTGATGCTCTAATTGTGGATGTTCCTTTCAACCCTAAAGCACACACTAACTTCTAAATCCTTTTAGCAACCGGTCTGAACTTGTCGTTTACTATAGTCCCCAAAGCCAATTCTTGGGGTTACTTTGTCACGTAACTCTTCGTGGTCCAAGCATGTCCAAAACATTTACAATGGGGTTAGAAGATAATTATTATGTGCCTTCAGAAATAGAAGCTCAGCGTTCCTCTAAATGTAATTCTTAAATTCACGATAGCTTGCATTCTTCCATTTTGGCTGTACTTATTCAATATATTTTCCCTGGCCTAAAACAAGGTTACATTTCTCTCTTTTCAGGATACTTTAAAATTTTTTCCTTGTCAGTGGCATTCTTCAAACCATTTTAGTGGATTTCATTTTGTGTAAGCATTTTCAATCATGTGATACATTTATAAGCTATATACTGTCAAACGAAGAACACTGCTTTCATGCCCATCTCAAGGCAAGTGAGGTCAAGAAACGCTTTATGCACACAAGGGATGAATTTTTAGGCAATGACACTCGTTCCAAATTTAAACTTCTCCGTGCATGTTTCATTCATCACAAAAACAAACAGCATCATCGTTTGTCTTATCAGTATCTTCGGAAGTATAACAACGACCAATCAGATTATTTGTTCATCGCACTCATCAATTAGGGATACAGGTCCAAGAAAAGCAGTCACCGAAGGTCAGAGACATTGAGTGATATGGCTGGGTGTAGCAAACATTGGCGTTCATGCATCTACTCATTATTATTGTAGCATGAGTCTCTATAAATTCACTATCCTCCCTTTTTTAACACATCGTGACCAAATGATGTTAGGTGTGTATCGAAAAATCGATGCGCCATGTGTTGTTTTCTTGTGCATGTTATAGTGTTAATAACACAGCAATGTCGGTAAAGAGTCACATTCACCAACGTTTCGGTTACCATGGGTAAGCTTTCTCAAGGCAGGTTTTACAATCAAATGACTCAGAGGAAAGGATCGTAAGTTAACGGATATTTCATCGTGTGTATGTTTGTCTGTGTGTGTGTATGTGCTGGACTGAATGATTCGTTGTCCGTCATACTAACTCCCATTTTCAAATGGGGTCAAGTGGCACCGTGACCTTTGTCGTGATTGCACGTTAGGGATGTTAGGGTGGTCCCAATGCTCGGGATATCGATTCCGTCATTTCTGTTGATACATGCAGAGTGGTTGTCAATGGCCAAAGCTTCGGCATACGAGCGTTCAGTGCATGTTCGAAATCCGATTTGGGGTATTTTTGGGTTGTCGTAGTCTATAGTGTGACCTTCGGCTATGGCGTGAAGGGCGATTGCTTAGTCTCGTTCTAGTTTTGCCAGAGTTGCTTGGTCCGCCGGTTGGTGCTTTTCTTTGCTCTTGTGTTCGGTTATTCTCGTCTTGAGATGTCTGCTGTTTTGCCCGATGTATTCTGCGGGGCATTCTTTACAACTGATTTTGTAAATGCAGTTGTTTTGATCTTACAATTCAACCGGATCTTTGGCTTTAACGAGATGGCGTTTCAGAGTGTTGTCAACCCGAAAGAATGTTTTTATGTCGAAATCGCCGAGAACCTTTCTGACTGCTTCTGAAGTGCCTGATCTATACGGAATGCCAATAGAGGCTACACGGTCTTTCTGTCATTGGGTTGTATCATTGGTTTGTTGGCCTCCAACTGAGATATTACCAGGAGTGGCGGATAATAATTGTCTTCTAACACTTTTTTGAGGCGTTCCATTTCCATTTGGCAGTTATTGTCATCATTTCATGTCATTGCCATCATTTTTGAGTCTGTCAGCCAGAGAGGAGGTAAGAGTCCGTTTTACACATCGCGGATAAGCTGATTCAAAATGTAAAAGTTTATCCAAATGTGTCGGTTTTCTGTGAACGCTGGTGGTGAGTTTACGTGAGTCGTTCACCCTGAGGTGACAGTCTAAAAAAGTGATGACTCTGTTCATATCCTGACTCCATGGCGAAATTGATGGAGTTGCACTGTTTGTTGAGACAATCAAGAAGTGCATGTGTGTGTTGTGACTTAATGATGACAAAAATTTCGTCTACGTATCTTACGTACAAACGTGGTGGCATATGAAAACTGGAGAGTGCATTCGATTCTATTGAATGTACAAGGAGGTTGGCTACAATGGGAGAGATGGGAGATCCCACGGCAACACCACTGTTTTGTCTTTACAAATCGTGTTTGAAAGTAAATAAATTTGAAATTAGACAAATTTCTACACCAGTAATAATTTCTGATGAGGTTAAAGAAGTTCGTTCTCCTAGTGTGATATCAGATATTAGCAAAGAATGTAGAAAATCTAAACTCTCTTTTATGGGAACACTTGTGTACAGAGAAACCACATCAAAACTGACGGCAACCTCGTCACTTTAAAGTTCAATCTTTTGCAAAATACGAGAGAACTGAAATGCATCACTGATGTGACTTACCACTGATTTTTGATACGGTATTAAGAGATCACTGAGATATTTTGCTAATTTATAAGTTCCACACGGTGTGCAGGCAACAATGGGGCGAATGGGTATGTCCGCTTTATGTATTTTCAGTAGACCGTAAAATCTTCCCGGTCTATTCGTTTTAGGTGCCAATAAAAACCACAGTGCTTTACCGAATTTGTCTTTCATACTTGATAAGTTATTGTTTGTGCAAGCTTCTGTTTCTTTGAGGGCTGCTTTAACCTTTTTGTCTTCAATTCTTTCACATGGTCCATTTTTAAGGTGTTCCAAAACTTCTGCTTCGTAATCTGTTTTATCTAGGATGACCGTGACGTTCCCCTCTTCAGCTTTTGTGATGTGAATCGAAGAATCTCGTTTTAAGTCTGTTAGTGTTTTTTTTCTTTTCGGATGTTACGTTCGAAGAAATCGGTTTTCGAGAATGTTACATACTCTCAACCGTGCTTGGTTGGCGTCGTTTTCTGGAATTTTTGATAAGGCCTGTTCTACAGCGGGGATACCCTCAAGGGTTTTCTGTGGAGGTTGAACTTGAGACCCCCTGGAGTAATCGTAATTCTTTGGGCGTCAGAACTCTTTTTGATATGTTTTTAACGAGATTTTCCGGATTCGCAACCAGTAGTTGACGAGAGTTCATTTTCTGTTTTCTTCCGGTTGTTGTTCCGTTCATCAATTTTCAAAACTTGCGTTTTTGTCAAGACTGGTATGATCCGAAAGCACGTGCCTTCCTTTGTTCGATTATCCTTGTAACATCATGGAGGATGGGGGATGACGGCAAAAGATTCAAGTAATCACTCAGATTTCGAATTCTGAAACATAGTGAGTGTACGATTACAGCACAATCGTCAGTGCGCTGTCGAAGGAATGTGCATGAAGCTGTCAAAGCAGCCCTTTGGGAGGGCAAAGAGTTATCCGGCGGAATTATAGGGAGAGATTTAAGAGTCACATTATGTCGTAGACTACGTTGATTAAAAGCACGATGATTGATCCCGTTAGCATGCCAGAGTAATCCGATTGGTAATCATTTTTAACACATCATGACCAAAAGATGTTAGGACTGTACCAAAAAATCTAAGCGTCATGTGTTGTTTTATTATGCATGTTATAGTGGTAATAACACAGCGATGTCGGTGTCTTTCGCTTGAATTTGCTCTTAATATCCTACTCTTCCTTCTGCTCTTTTATACAGATGAGCAACCAAAAGACAGCAACCAAAACCGGCACACGAAAGTGCATGGTTATTCGTGTGAGAACCAAACCGAACCGCATTTATTTGCTGTTCTTTTATTAGACAATGTATGCTCAAGTTTTCATAACGATAACTTGTCGAAAGTGCCAAGCTCGACTTGGCTCAACTGGTTTTATGAACATCACAAGGTGTTGAGCGTGAGATCTGTGTGAATTCTAGGCGGTGACTGATTCTAGCAGAACGGGTCAGCATGACAGCCGGGATACATGCAAAACAGAGGGCAAGTTGCCGCCCAGTCGAACAGAACCGGGATACGCACCAATGAGAATTGGTAGTATCAATACGAGGAGAACGGAGAAAGGGGAATTTATTCAAGAATCCATATGTCCACGTGAGCTACCACTCTATTGGGTGCATAAAGCTTAACTTGGCTTTATAAAAATCAATAACTCACACATCACGAGTAATGCGACTGAGAATGCAGTACGCGGGCCTGCCGCATCACCGGCTCCAAGATACTGACCCACTCGGATACCAGTAGCACTTCCGATACCGTAAGGAAGCTAAGATGCAAAAACAAAGACAGAACATTGAGGATTGCTTGGCACAGACATCTGCATACAAATAATGCATTCCCCATAATTGGTGAAACGACTTTGAAGTTAAAAGATCATACACTTCTTATTCAAGAAGTATGAATAAGCGAAATACATCCAGATTAACGCATTTATATACGGGGAGCGATATAAATAGATATGGGAAGCCGTTCATAGATGGAAATGATCTGCGGAAACCAGTTTCATGGAACCACCAGAACGACAATGAAAACGCTTTTTGTTTTGTTTAGAACGACACTTTAAACGTTTTTTGTGTGCCGGGTCTTCCGCAGACAGACCGTGGAACATTTGCGCTACTGAATTCTATCCAACTTAATATTTCTAACTGACGAGCGACCTCATTCTTCAGGACCGGCTACATTAAACGAACGGCATGCTGAAGCTGATGCAAATTTTTTCCGAGTTTTAGGCACTAAGCATCAACCGAAATTGATTTTCACTGCAATTCTCACCTGAATCTCAAACTGGTCTGATCTGAACCGCAGTGCATTATCATCGGACATGAACTTATCGAAATTTGAAGGATCTCCCTCAGTGAAATGTGAACGTCTTTTAAGTCGCATATTGTCCGTGGATGATGCAACCCAAAGGCAAAATAAAGCCATACTGTAATGAGCAAACAACCCGATAATGGATGTAACAAAAACGGTATGAAAGGTGATTTCCATAATCCCTCTTGTGATTCAACAACGATGATTCCTGGAACCTTCTATAGAACGAAGAGAAACCATGATAAACCAGTTATGATAGATTCTTCCAGTTGAAGGCAATTAAATTATTAACTCAGCTGTTTTGATTTTGTGATATCATTATTGTACCCATCCGTGCAAATCGTGAAACTCTCCTCAAGGTCTCAGGATATTTCGACATGGTAATCGCACGAAAACGATTCCAAGCCTCTCAAGTGTCAAATCTTTTCATAAAAATACTTTCAATAATACAAATGATTTATAATACAAGCTTACTGTGATCATATTCCCTGGTAGCCAATCGCTGCAACAGACATCGTTGAAAGCAAGCGACCAGCCTAAATCATCTATGAGTGTAACAGCTAAAAAGCTGACAAAAGGTGACTCTCATTCTAAGTCTATCAATCATTCCTGACTGCGAATCCGGAAACCCGGAATATATTAGATCAGATTGCGTATAGCTGAGCTGTGCACGGGCACTTACCAGGGAATAGCTCACGGCGTCAATCATAGTCAGCACGGTTTGTACGCTCAGCTCGTGTGCACCAAGGGACCCTGCAAATGATAAATACACGTGAAAGGGAAGGAAAATTTATGGCATGTATATATATATATATATATATGTATATTTATCCAACATGCGTGCAAAAAGCTCATATTAAATTGAAAAACGGGAAAATAGCTTGTAATATTTCAGTTTTTCCTTCTTCCTTCATTGATAAACTGATTTGCGCAGTTTATTATACACTGATTTTGGTGACTTCTATAGCTACATTACAGTCCATAGATCCGATCTGATAAGATTTTAGTCCTGAGACTGACGGGAATTATTGATTTTGATTATGAGAAGTAATCGGGTTCTGGATGAATCGTTTGAATCTCCTGAACCGGTATATTATTAACCTATACTGCTTTTCAATTTGCTGCGTTTATTTGCTCAATTGTGGTGCTCTTCAAGGTTTATCAATGCTCATCTCTTTTCTTCAGTTTTGTGGTAGATTTGGTGGTCATTCTTCTTGTCTAAGGTACGCAGATGACATTGTAATGATGAGAAAACCGCCAGTTATTGTGAACGTTATAGTGTTAATAACACAGCAATGTCGATAAAGAATTATATTCGCCGACGTTTCGGTTACCGTGGGTAAGCTTTCTCAAGGCAGGTTTCATAATCAAATGACTCAGAGGAAAGTCATTTGATACCCAATAAGGTTTGTGATGCATTTATATCACTGAGGTGGCCCATTTTTCAAGACAGGCAATCGATTTAGCAGAATTCTTCCTCTACTTGAGCAAGTACTCCTTTGGTGAAAAAACTACTAATGTGGATATTGTATACACCGCAAACAAGAGTTATTCATCTCCAGACGCCTTTGAGACAATCGATTTTCCGACTAGGGCTGACTGGATGGTACAACTGTCCTGTTGGATGTGCTACATGATGATTAGAGCAAATTAGCCGGACGATTAATGTCTATATTTACGCACAGAATTCGTAGATTGTGGTGAAACTCCAAAGCAAGTCATTTTTCAACGAGGAATCGTGCTTGTTAGACCATTGTTCACAGATAAGCTTGCCGAAGTAGACCATAGAAGTAACAAGTTCAAGTGTATAAGAATCCATCAAATATATAAACAGTCTCGGCGTTTTTTGTGTCGAGGTCAGTTAGAAAACTACCGTTGATCTGTTCGAATTTCAATGCAAAGACGACCGACATTTTCCCCCACACCTTTGCGCATATTCATTCTTGGGTCATGTTTTCTCTGATAGAAAGTAATGAAACGTTCATTACTTACCCGCAACCCATTGACCAATTTCAAATAGTGTCCATTCCATGGAAACCATGATGATACCGGGAATGGCCAGTCTAAACCACACACCCCAATCTTCCAGAAAACAGCGTGAAAATTCTGTACTGGGGAAAAATTGGACAATGAATTCACAGTATAAGCAATTACTGCAATTACTAAAAACACGGTGAGAAAAATAAAACAACAAACCAAAGTACTTTTTTGCATGCACGAGACGTGTGACTGCATACACGGGTACCGTACACATCAACTGAACGATCGCGTACATTGATGTGCACCAAATCATTGTTCGTTTTTCATCCCTGATAAGCTTTCCCTCTCTATTGTTTCTCATATCGGATGGAACAATACAAGTGGTAGCAAGTTATTTTGTGTTTTGGGATAAAATGTTTTCCAATACTTCGCAACACCTGACAGAGTATAATGTGCAGATTACATTTGCTTTCCGTTAGAGATACCCGTATCTCTCGAGATTATATATATGTATAATTTTTTTCTCAAACTCGTCGCTGATCCATCAAACTGCAGTACAAGAACTGAAGCACCAGGATTCATTACTCCATATTGGCGCAAAACTTAGTTCAAAAGGCAATTTTTTGAGCGACGACGGCCAATTGAGCTACACACACTAGTCAAGTAACTCAGATAACGTTATCCAACTATTATCCTATTGTGGTATGTGAAGAAATCCACTCTGCAGGCTGAAACAGCAATGCATTACGAATCTAAATTCAGAGCTGTCGATGAATTAATGCCGGTTTGATTAAATGATTGATTGATTTAAACAATTGCTGCACGATGCGCATTCGGTCCCGGTTGTAAATGAGCCACGTAACACATGACAGCTTGTCCGAACTTGATGATCAGTTTATCACTAGATCTCTTGTGTGTAACATCAATAACTGCACAATTTTTTCCATTAGTCTCAAAACTGGCCACCATTATTCTAAACTGACAAAATTTCTTCCTGACCTTATTGCTAATCAAAGTAACCCCAACTAGGATTTTGGTAAATAGCTCGATTTCACCCTCATCATAACCTGTTTTGACCAGCTCATGTCATAAGCATATTCACAAAATTATTATGGCTCGCACAAACTTAAATTCTTGATTGTCTGTACACCTCAACAATGGTTAAACTGTTCCAAAACATTTTACTAAGGCATAGAATAAAAATATTTAGTTTTGTTTTCCAGACCTCTACACGTTCCTCCCAATACACCACAACGGATGGAGTATTTTTGGTGATTTTTGTAGTTCTGAGCATTTCGTCTCTTGTTGACAGATTAATACGTGATCAAATATACTCTCTGTATCCAGGAATTTTGAAAGCCGTATTGACTCCAGCAACTCTTCCCAAATATCAACATCTGTTGTTGCGCGTACTTCCACAATAGGAAGTGGTGTTAATGCATAAATCACTCAGCTCTTGGCTAATCATTAAACACTTGTCACTAACTGAAGAGAAAGATTCCTTACCATCTTATCGAACGTATTTTCTGCTATTTCCTGAAAATTGCATTTTTTTAATTGACCTACTGTAAAAGTTCATTAGTTGCTAGAAATCCACCCTGGTGACTTGATTTGGCTTGATTTGTACCAGTTGCATCCATTTTGCTCAATTATTTCTCAAATACCACCCGGGAAGCACAACAACAGCAACAACACATTTGTATCAGCCCTGTGGAATTTTCGGTTGGTAATACTAACTCAAATTTTGTTACATCTTTGCGAATATGCTTCTTATCCGTGACAGAAGTAACGAATAGAAGGAATGCTACAAATGAAACAGAACAATCTAATCAGTCTGACACAGATAATGCAATCGATCACGTTGACCCTTTCGATAACAAACAACCAACACACATTGTTTCTACTGCACCACAAAGTACAAAGAGTTATAGCCGACTTGCAAACCAGACCCAATTGTATGTTATTGTGCGACTGTCAAATTTTACGTCGTGCATGATATGTTATCCTCATTAAGTGCTCATCCAAAGTACGAGACAGTTTTTCCCTCTTTGTCAATCGACTTCTCCTCAAGAATACCACCTCATTTCTCTAGGCACCATAAGAAGGGTTTTTGTGCCACAAACAAAATGCACTGAAAGTAAAAAAGAAATACAAATGAGTGATTAATCCCCTTCCAATCAAATCACGTTGACCACACGTTTCAGTTCCCCAATGTGATGAGTTGTAAATGACTTCCGGTCTCAATTCTGTGGTTTTAAAATCTTTCAATTAAGGTAAAACGTGCTTAGCTGATTATATATTTGTTTCTGTCTGATATCACTGAGCAGAAAAGCCTCGGAGGGCCGTATTTGATGCAGTTTAGTGCACATTTCTTCATTTGCTTCGTCGTAACATATCCCCAATACGAACGAAGTAAACTTGACTCGAGAGAACCTCTGCGAAAAGCAGCCGAATGCAACATCCATGCTCTTGTCCACATTGTGATCATGTTCACTTCATGTGAAAAATCGTCAACGCGATTCGTTTTGTATCTTAACGCTCCAACTAAATTTCACATAACTTCTAATTCCAGTACATTCATAATAATGTTGGTCTAGAAGTCCCGTGTGGGTTATCGCACACCTGAAGTGCAAAATTGGAGATGTTTCTGATAGGCATCTTTCCCACTTATTAGATTGTTAACCCATTCTATTCCGTATTCGTATTGATGTGCTTATTTATTTCTGAACCGATTGTTTCGAAGCAACAGAGAATGAGCTGGTAATGATAAACAATGAGATTCAAGTTTTGCTATGTGATCAATGTAGTCTCAACTTACAGGCTCCACGCGGTAACACGCGCGCATTTGTAATTCATAAATTGTGATAGTTTAGGTAGGCGTTGCACATGTCACAAGATGTACGCCCTTGAAGACACAGACAGCGGTTTGCAGAGGAAGAACGGTGGCCGGAACATTGATATTAAAGTGTGGAAAGTTTTAACTGGCGCACATGGCCACATATATTGCCTTTGGCTTCACCTCAATTGCGGATCGTTCTATCGGTCTAGTCGATTGACGTACACATGAATTTACTATATGACTGAGTGTCGTGAACAGTTTCAGTTCCGTTTATACAAACATTAACTATGCACTTTCGTGCGGTGTTTACACTTGATACGTGTGTTGACCACCCAGTTGGATGATGCAGTGGAAGGATCGGGGACACTGGTATACCTAAACACACTAGATTCCTATCTACCTCCATCATGGTGTTGCTCTCAGTTTGCGGGTTAATCCTGCTCCTGATTCTTCATAGCCAAATGAAAGGGATAGTCAGACAAAAGCAACTTAAACAAACATCAACAACTGCGTAATTATTATTGGTGTAAACGAGAACAGCAAGTGGTACTGGGCAAGGTGATTCTTGAAACATACACTTCTGAGACCCTGAACCATTCCACTCCCCTGGATGTCCTTAGTGTAATAGACTGTTCATGCTAGAATTTAGATTTTAAAAACATGGATAACACTGTTTCTCACGGTATCCATGTGAGTAAAACCAAAAAGTAATGTGAGTGTAGATTATATTGATTATTATCATTGTTGCTCAACTACATTAAAGTGGTTACATCATGAGGAAAAAATAGTGTCGTTCTTAATCGAATGTTATGCAGTTAAACAATCGACGAGGTAGTTGAATGGGTATTAAGAAATATATGTTGCATCATTTAGTGAGTATTAGATATATATTATACAAAGGAGAAGAAGGAGACGTATAAGGCGGCCGAAAAATTGTGAGTAGGGCAATTGTAAGTTAGTCAACCTGATCAAAGTTACAATCGCTAATCGGTTTAAGTCCCACCAAGGCATCCGGAAAACACCGATTTGCTGCAACTGATTTGACCTTGATAACTGTGACTTCACCCCTGTCTGTCACCTCGTGGATCTCTCATCCCGGCTCCAGCCCCGGTCAATTGTCCGTTGATCACAATGCATTTTACCTAGACATGTTTTACTTCTCTTTCTGTGAATTCCGAACCTCTAGACTGTTTTGTCCACAACATATTTGAAACCCACTGTACGGTTAAGGGCACATTTCCGCTAACCCACTATTGGCGATTGTGTATGTCTATTTATCAACCAACATTTTATTTAAAACACTGTTTTCCCGTCACAAATATTGAACAGAGAAGTCAGAAACATGGGTTTGCACAATGTATCCATGGTCATTTCGCTGCATCTGTACACGTGCATACTGCAGTCCAAATGATTTTTATAGTCAGTGAGATAACAGATTTGAGAGAAAAAAACACGAGATCGCTAATCACAACGGACATCGCAACGCAAAAAGTTGGGAATGAGATAGGGCAGGGGATCAATCACCAAGGCAAAGCTAATGTGACTAACCATTCGCGTTGTTTGCATAGATCAGGTTTGAGAGTGTGAATGGCTAGGGCCTCGGGAAATTTTAATTTTGTGTTTGCTGTGTTGTAGATGACATGGAATGTGTAGGGTGGGGTGACACAGTGTTTTTGTTCGAGTAAATGTTGCGTTATCGAAGATCTAAGCTTTCTCCGATCAAT